TATGTGTATGTGCGCGCCAGGGCTGCTCAGCTAGTGGGCACTGGAGAGTTTGGACAGAACAGCAGAGCTCTGGAGAGAAGAGACAAACACCTCCTCCTCTATCGCATCATCACTTCGTGAGCTCTTCACGCACACACTTTTGCAAATTGCCAATAAAACACATAGTTGCAAACACCCATAAAGTCACACATAACATATAACCAAACATTTTAAACACAACAAACAGACAGCTGTGTGGTTAAATGTGTTGTTATTGGGTAAAATCTGATGCCTCTCCAATACATTGGAGTTGTGTCCCAGTCCCAGCTGTGAGAACATGAGCTCTGTCTGCCTTCATCCATTTGCTGTGTGTTGTGTGACCATCCCCACAAGTGCAGTTTTATTAGCATGCATCAACACACCATCTGCAACCTGAAATCATGCAATAATTGAGCATAATAGATAATGTTAAATCCATTAACAAAGGCAGAAGTTGTAAGTTGTTTGTTTAGGACGTGTTGAATTATACACTGTTAAATATGCTGGTTTAAATCGCAATGTTCTTAATTAAATCTGAATTGCAAAGAGAAAAAAAGTACTCTGTGACACACACACATTTTCACACATTTCTTTTTCTCTTCCATTTGCTCTCTCAATATCCGGGATTAGTCATTCATTTTTCCCTCTCTGCTCAAAGCCAGTGGAGAAATGAAATCTCTTTCCTGTCTAAAGCCCTGCGTGTCATCAGTTGAAACCAAATACATCAATGTCATTAATGTCACTGACTTTAACCTTGTAATTGTATGTCATACCCAAACTGAAATCTTTCTCTCTAGGGAAATTAATCACTTGATAATCACTTTTGTTGGCAAGAAAGATGCTATTACAGTGGTGCTAATTGTTAAACATGGAAACTCAATAAAAAAGGGCACGGAGGTGAGCCAGTCTCCTTTTTTATAATGAGGAATGATGCAGATCACTGCGCCGCTCCTATCTGTCCGCATAATCAGATGAATGTGTGCGTACATGTGTGTGTATTTTTATTGGATAATTAAAATCATAACAAATACCTGGTTTGCCGCCGCTGTCTCTGTTTATTTGACTTGAAGTAAGTGTTAACTCTGTATTAGAGTTGGATTGAACTCATCTGGATTCAGACAGGATTACTGGGGTTTGTTGATAAGATGAAGTCTCCATTGTCCTGTGATCACAAGTGCTGTTTGGCAGAGATCTGACGTGCAGGTAAATGTTGTGTGTTTGGATTGCCCTCCTCCTGTCTGTGCCAGCACAGTTTTACACCTGCTGCAGACAGATGAGTGTGTGTATGTGTATGTGTGCATGGGTCACCTTTTTCCTACATTGAGAGGGCCAAATGTCCTCATGAGCAGATAGTAAAACCTGAAAGAGAAAAGCAGCTTAATTAACCCATCATTTACCCTCATATCGTTCTAAGACTGTGTAACTTAATGTTTTTGGCAGAATACAACAGAAGATATTTTGGA